ACAAATTGAATAAGTAAATGAACTTCAGCACAGAGGTTGGCATTAGTAGAACCTGCCCAATGGAGGACCAAGCAATGAATAAAAGGTTGAGCTATCCAGGAGCCTGGATAGCTCAACAGACAGAGCTCTGTAATTTAACACCAGCTGTCTGCAATTAAAGTAAGATCGAATCTCGCCAGGCTCAAGGTCGACTCAGCCTTCCATCCTTTCTAAGGTAGGTGAAATGAGGACCCAGTTTGTGGGGGCAATAAACTGACTTTGTATAAAATACACAAAAGTATGAAGGCTATTGCTTAACACATTGTAAGCCGCCCTGAGTCTCCGGAGAAGGGCGGCATATAAATCAAATTAAAAAAAAGAGAGAGAGCGAGAGCTGGAGCACATCAAAGAGACAGAGAGAAGGGAAAAAAAGAATCCTTCCCTCCCTCCCTTTCTTCTTTTGGCTGCCTCTGGATGTCTGCACACCCACAAAGCTAACCTTGGACATGTGTCCAAGTCACGATGTGACTGATGGAACTCTTCCCAAGTAAAGGGGGCTTGTGATTTCCAACAAGAGCTGCATTGAAGTTGGGAGCTCCGAGGGAGCTGGAGGATTCCCATCTTTTACCTCAAGCTCACCCAACTTTTCTTAGCAAGTATCAAATTGTCTTGAAGGCCTGGAAGTAAAAACCAGGCAGCATAAGTGGGACTCGAAAGACCTTCTCCTTAAGTTTCTTTGCTTTTGTGTATTTTCTAAACAGGGATGGATTTTCGTGGTTGATCAACAAGCTCTCCAAAGTGAACCAACTGGCTAGCTTTGCCTCACCCAGGGAAAGGAAGCAGCCACACCCACCAGTCAGGCAGGGACAGGCGGCTTCTTGAAGAAGATGGACCACTGGCCTCCTGAGGATGGAGATGATGGTGGTTGCTGTGGCCCTCTAAGACAGACTTGATTTCAGGGGCTTCATGAACGACTCCTCTGTTTTAGCCATGCCCTGATCAAGGGAACTTAAAAAGCTGCTGCCACTTTATGCCAGAATATAGAATAACAGAGTTGGAAGGGAGCTTGGAGGTCTTCTAGTCCAACCCCCTGCCCAGGCAGGAAACCCTACATCATTTCAGACAAATGGTTATCCAACGTCTTCTTAAAAACTTCCAGTGTTGGAGCATTTACAACTTCTGCAGGCAGGTTGTTCCACTGATTAATGGTTCTAACTGTCAGGAAATTTCTCCTTAGTTCTAAGTTGCTTCTCTCCTTGATTAGTTTCCACCCATTGCTTCTTGTTCTACCCTCAGGTATTCCTACAGTTTTGCTATGGTAGCAATGCAGAAATTGGGAACAACTGTGAGATCTTGTACTTCCAATCTGGCCCTCCGGATATTCTGCCCGCAAAGCTCACCTGGATCAAGACTGAACCAGGTGAGAGGACATCAGGCAGTCCAAAGACGGGAGCAGAGAAGAGGGGAAGGGATTCATTTCATAGACAAACCCCAAGCCTCTTTCAACAGGGAACTCGAGAGAAACGTGATCGGAATCCTTGGGCGGATTCCAGTAAAATGGTTGCTAGGGGGAAGACAAGGGACAGTCAATTAAGAAAAGTGTCAACCGCAACAAGCAAATAAATAAATAAATATTCAACCTAGCAACTAATCTGTAAATCTTCCTCCAACTTAAGACATCACTCATGGAGAAGGTGAAGGATAAGATGGGGTCCTTCTCAGCACTCTTTTCCAATGCCGACAGCGACTTGCTATCTCTTCGCTAATCTCCCAAATAAAGAGAGAAAATTAAATCAATAGCTCTCCTCCCATTTGGGGGCCTGCATTTTTGTAAGCTCGTCTGTCTCTGTGGGTGCGTTTGCGTATGTGTACGTATCTACGTGGGCCCATTTAGAACTAAATCGGGGGGGTGGGGTGTCAAACCAGGGGTGAAATCCACTTACCTTCGCTACCAGTTTGCAAATGGAAGTGCGCTTGCACATGACACCTTTGTGCATGCGCAGAGCGTCAAAAACGGGACGTGATGACATCTGGGCAGGTGGACGGAGCCTCCCGTCGCCAGCGCTACCGTTTCAGCCGAGGTGGATAGAACTGGCTGCATTTCACTGCTGGGTCAAACTCAAGGCCCGTGGGACATATCTGACCCATGGGGTGCTTGAATCTGGCCTGCAGGGCCACCCTGGAAACACCGAAGGACTGGCCTGCAGTGCCTCTGTCAGCGAAAACGAAGCTCGGGAGGGCTGCTGGCAGAAGGTTGCATGAGTCCGTCGCAGCCTCCCGAGCTCCGTCTTCACTGGCGGAGGCACCATGGGCCACTACAGGCGCCCCCAAGATGAGTGATGTCAAGTTGGCCACGCCCACCCGGCCCCCAAGATCAAACACAACCATGATTCAGCCCTCAATTAAATTGAGTTTGACACCCCTGATCTAAATTGATGGAGGGGGAAAGGTTCCACGTGCGTACTCTTATTTTTCACTCCAAAATCAGGAGAGAAAGATAACAAATGAAAAAAAATTGCTTTGACAATATTACCTGGAGAGGCTGACCTGTTCTGCTGCCCCTATAATCCTCTCCACAACCTCCAAGCGCCCCTCCCCCTTCCTTTGGTTGACAGGACTTCTGCTGTCCTGCTTAAGCCACACTTCTAAACCCACCGAACAAAAACCGCGAGAAAGGTCACCCCACCTCCCCACCGTCTCCTGAACAAACCCAGACCCACCGAGGACTCGAATCACTCACACTCCCTGGTTTATTTAAGCAGCTCCAGTAAATCCCAGCCTTTCCATTTGTTTCCCCCTCCAATAAAAGGGAAAAAGAAGCCCAGTGTGTTAGGTAGGGAAGCTGTAAGGAAAAATAGTTAACCTACACGAAACAAATACTCAGCTACCACTTTCTGGACTAAAAATAGAGAGCTGAGTGATCCTGCAAGGTTTACAACGGATTCTTCGGGGTTTCTACTATGGAATCTGACAAAAACAAAAAGACAAAAATAGCCACTTAGCTATTTATAGATCAAGGCATTTCTACGAATAATTTCAATAAATAAAAACCACCGTTCAGCAAATTAAAGAAAACAACAGGAACAGAGCAAAGGGGAAGATAGAAAAGGAAACCGTGTCAATCAAAACGGAAGCCAGGGTGCCTTCCAAAAATCTTGAATGAACTATGTAACTAGGTAATCAAGAAGATGTTGCCCAAAGGTTTTCCTCAAATTATTGGGGGGGGGGACTTTTCAAAAAAGCGATTACCCCTCTGACCAGGAATTTACCACTGTTTTCAATTCAAGGGCCACACTTAATCCCTCAGTGAAATCTCTTGAGACAAAACAAAACAAACAAACAAACAAAAAAAAAACCAGGTGGAGAAGATAAAAAGCAAGCCCACAAATATTGACCTTATATTTAAGCAAATAAATACACCTTGGATCCTTCACTTTCCCTGTTCACTTTTTCCCTTCTGTCGCAGTAAAGCCACCAGTTTAGGAGGGGCTCCTCGCCAGCTCCTCTTCCAAAGCATGCAAGTGTGAGTAGATCAATAGGTACCACTTCAGTAGGAAGGTAAGAGCGTTCCGTGTGCCTTCGGCGTATAGCTATGCTGGGCACATGACCACGGAAATGTCTTCGGACAACACTGTCTCTCTCAGCCAAGAAACGGAGATGAGCACCCTGCCCTAGAATTGGACACAACTGGACAGGGAAACCTTTACCTTACCTTCCCAAATATTTCAGGTTTGTCTGGTTCAAAAGCACCAACCCTCACCCTCTCTGAACAATAGAAAAAGAACAGAATGGCACATACACTTTCTTCTCATAATTTGGCACACCCATACTGTTAACTGCTCCTGCCCAAGTAACTAACAGTTCGAAAGCCTGCAAATGCAAGTAGATAAATAGGTACCACTTGAGATTTGGGCTGTGTATCTTCAGAGAGGCCACGAGAGAGAGAGAGAGAGGGGCCAAAGTGGGGGTGGGGGGAGCAAGGCCACCAAATGTGGGGGAGCTTGGGACAAAGAGAGGTTAAGGTGTCCCTGTGGTTTGCTTAGAGGCAAAAACAACCATTCTTGCTTTGGGCCTTCGTCATAACCCACAGCTGGGGGGGCGGTGGCGGCAGAGAAGAACTCGTGGGCAGGAAGCCTCGATTCCCGGCTCAGCTTCGCTGCCTGCTTTCCTAACAGTCCCTGTTTGGTGTTAGGATTTTCCTCTTGGTTACCTGACCCACAAATCAAAGCTGCCAAAAGCAAAGAGCAGAAGGATAAACACCCACGGATCAGCGCTGTGACATCCCCGCCACGGAAGGATTGTCACAACATTTGCCCATCCAGATGTGATGAGCGACAACGCTGGGCCAGAAGGCCCAGAGCAGCAATTATCTGTGGTGGTTTTTTTTTTCCAGTTCTGCAGTTTCTGCCCATTAATGGAGCATTGCTGGGCATGGAGCCCCAGGAGACCCCCGGGAGGGAAACCCTAACCCTCTCAAGGAGGGCGGGGAGAGGAGAGAGAGAGAGAGAGCATGCAGAGGGAACATCAAAAGCCCCGGCAAATAATGGCTGAACAGGGCTTCGTATGAATGCTTGGGTCAATAAAACGGAACTTATATCAATGTTTCATCGTCTCTGAGCGGAATTTTTTTTTTAAAAAAAATCACAAGGTCTCTAAAATGTGCTTTTCAAAGCCCAGCAGGTTTTCATGTCTCCTGTTCAAGGCTGGAACTGTGGTTTAATGCCAATATATAATAATTGTAAAGAATTATTAAGACGTTTACTCCCTCTTCTGTGTACCTCAGGGCTAAATCAAAGCCCGCAACACCACCATATAAAATTGCTCCTTGACATCCGTGAGGCCAGGAGGATTCAAGCAGAGGAGGTAAAATATGAGAGCGTAAGATGGGAGTTGAGCAGTCTATAAAGGCCCCGGCGTAGCAAACTTTCATGAACAGACACTGCCAAAGTTTGAGCCTCTATACTTTATGCATTCATGTTTGAAGTTTTAAAAAAGCCGTAATCTTAAAGAGAGGTTCTTACTGCCAGAAGGAAACATTAGGATGCCTGGAGTCAGCAGCCATTTATGTCAGCTTTAAACTTCAGCAGAGGTTAACAAAGCTCATCGGCAGCTTGTCAAATCTGATCTATCGCAGAATTCTGACTGGCTACAATCAGCCAATGGGTGAGAAGCTGCAGGTGATAAGGATCCGCATTTCTTACCTGCAAATTAAAAGAAAAAGAAAAACGGTGAGTCTTTAAGGTTTCTCCGAAGATCTAGGCTGTTATTCTGCCAAAGCATCAGCAAAACTATAAAAAAATATTGCAGGCATTATTATCAGAAGGCAGCCAGACTTTCATAAAATGGAAGGGGAAAAATTGGAGACTCATTAGCTCTTTCTCTCTAATGGGAAGCGACCAGGATTTGGGGAGGACTTTCAACCAGCCAATTTTATAATTAGGTATCTCTCAGCAGTCCTCGGTCCTCGAATAGAGATGCCTGTCGCCATGGCTTTTCGGTAGCATTACCTCCTGTGGCCAAATGCCAACAGTAACAATAGTAATAATACCACGGGAACATTACAAATTCTCTTTGGTTAATGTTTTAATGTCTCGTAATTTGTGATTCTCCTTTCTGGACTGATGGCGTTGTGGAGACGCCAAGCCCTTCTTCCTTCTCTTTTGTCCACGGATGTCCACCTGGGCACCGAGGTTTTATTAGTTGAGAGTCTCCAACTTATCCTTCATTTCCCCCCCCCTCTGATTCCGCACACAAAGCTTCCTTGGAAAGGTTCTTCACAGCACAGCCCAACAACCCACAACAACGAGAAGTTCCTGAAGTCAAATCACCCACGTAGATCTCGGCCTGACACGGGCAATGCTTTAAAGCCCATGAAATGGGGGGGGGGGGGGGGGGGGCTTTGGCATGGCTGGATGCACCCACTGTTTCCATCCGAAGCTCCCGCTTTCTCGGACAGGCTTTGTCCGAGGGTGGGAAGCTAACGGTGGCCCTAAGAGCCCACTGTTGCTGCAGCCGTTGTGTTACCATAACAGCTGTGTCGCTAATTCCCCACCCGCTTCCATCACGCCAACCCCGGGCTCTGCGTGGAGCTGCCCTGCAGTCATTATTCACCAAGCACTCCCATTAACAAACTGCCCTTAATTACAGAGCTAATTGCAAAATTATTTCATAGTAGCAATTATTCCTCTCGGCTCATCCCCAGCTACTTGAAGTAGGAGAGCACCTACAAAGGTGGCACTGAGCCAAGTCATCAATGACCACAGACCACCTTTAAAGTGGGTCTTCCAGAAAAATATACCAATGACCCCCACTTTCCTTGAGTCAAATTCCTTCCTTCTTTCCTTCCTCCTTCTCTTCTTCTTCCTTCCTTCCCCCTCCCTCCCTTTTTTCTTTCCTTCTTCTTTTTCTTTCTTTTCTTTCCTTTTTTCTCTTTCTTTCCTTCCTTTTTCTCTTTCTTTCTTTCTTTTTCTTTCTTTCCCATCTCTTCCAGCTGAGGTTCTCAGTTAAAGAGGCACATTTGCAATTGTTTTTTCCCCTCCTGCTAGCAAATGCCTCCATATTTAACATCACTCTTTAGCTTGAGTCTGTCCAGGCAGCTCTGCAGCTGAACAGATTCATTTTGTTTCTCTCAAGAGTGGAATGGCTACTCCTTCTTCCTTTAGGGAGGAATCCTTCACAGTGAGAACTAAAGCCAAGCATTTGAAGAGGGAAGCCTTGGTTCCCACCAAGATGTGGGAACCCACTCCTGTTTCCTGACAATCATACTTCCTCCCTCAACCACCGTAAGAGCCAACCAAATCAGAGCAGACCAATCATTGACCTTCACTTCCCCATACAAAAATGCATCAGTGCTGGTGTGCTCTAAAAATCCTGGTGGGGAGATCTGTTGAGGGGAGAAGGGACACCAAATAATCATAATTCACCAGCTTAGGTTCCAACCTAAGTTGGTGCAGATCAGGCCACCTACTTCTATTTTTCTCCGTACCTTTCCATTTACCTACTGCAATCCCCTCAACTTCTGCCATGCCCCAATTTCTACCCCCCCCACCCTGCATTATTTGAAAGATGTACCCCATGAAGTAGGGCCCTTAGTGCTCAGTTTTAGTGCCGAATCAGACCCACGACCATGTCTGCTAGTTGTGTCCTGCCATGCGCACAATCCCTTTTCCTCTAAGGAAGAGGCAGATCTTCCTAAAGGAAAGCGTTTTAGCTGGGCTGCTCCTCAACCCGCCAACCTCACATGCCAGGAGAGCTCTTCAACTGCCACAAAGGACAATCCCCAAGTGGGAGCCAGGCGCAAATTCAGCCAGGCTACTTTCAAGGAGGAACACATAGAAATAGCGTAGAAATAACCACGATGGTAGAACACGTGTCAGGGAAGGAGAAAAAAATTAAGTTGCAACCTACAAGCGATCTGAACTTTGCAAAATTCCTAGAATCAAATAAGATGCCATGGAAATTTCCGTAAGAGATTTAACAAGGCCTTTTCTCCTTCCTCCTTGGTCCGGCAAAACCAAGTTTGAGGGCTGCCACCGATTCCCAGAATGGAGTTTACACTAAATGGTTTTGTTCCAGCGTTTCTTCCTGGGCTCAGATTTAATATCAAACTCCCACAAAGAGAGCCACCCCCAAGACAAATGAGGCTCACATGCGCAAGGCAACCACAGTCAGATTAAAAACTCCTCATAGATCAACGTGGAGAGCCAGTAAGTGAGTGTATTTCATTTTGATTATTGCGCATATGGCACTGATGAGAAAAACCGAGGCAGATTAATCTGCGCGCTCATGTGGGGAGAGGCATGTTAGGGGGTCTTTCTTGGAAAAAAAGAGACATGCGAGATGCTTGGACCATCTGAGCAAGGATTGTGATTTGGGCTGAGGATGCCAACTTCTTCCTTAAGGAAGGTCCATCTGGTGAGACCCTCTTGATGGATTCCGTGTAATTTCTCTGCCCAAATGTTTTTATCATTCTCTCTCTTGCAAATATGTTAGCTACGAGAGCAGTTCTGTGAAAAAGGTCTATTCTGAGACTCAAGGGCTTTCCGCAGTCAGAGAAAGCCAATATCATAAGCCATAAATTGACATTTCTCCGTTATTGTCATTTTTTTTCTTTTAAAACAGCCATCATAGTCTAAAGCACCTTGAATATCAAGCTATGAGATCAGAAAGGAAATGCACACTAGAGTAAAGGTTTTTTAAATCAACCAGTGAAAGGAAATGCACAGCTCTGAAAACAGAATTATCCCTGCAATGTTTGATAAATTTAGTTAGCCTTGAGAAGGAGAGAATGAGGCTGGATATACCCTCTTCACCTGGGAGAGGATGCTTCACAGAAGGTTGAGCACTGCTTTCCATCACAATGTCTTTAAAATATAGGAGGGAAACACCAACTGAGCCTTAAGGAAAGCATTGCTAACAGGGGGAACCGTCCAGCCACGGAATCAGCCAAAGACCCACGGAAGTGGGGGACTGTTCTTCACCAGGAGACTTCAGAGGCTGAACAGCCATCTGTCCAGGAGGCCTTCAATGAATTCCTGCACAGTTCAGAGCAGCGGCCACCAACTGGTGGTCCATAGACCCACTTGTGGTCCATGAGAAAATGTTGGTGATCCGCAGAAAAAATTATTTGCATTTTTTATGTTGAACTAAATCAGGGGTCCTCAGACTACGCCCCCTGGGCCAGATACGTGCAATGATACGCGCAGAGAGTCTCCCCCTTCAGTATCTTGTTGTGTGGGTCAGAGGGGGGGCAGAAATTCTGAGTTGGGGTCTGCTTCAGCCTCCTGGTAGGGGGCTTTGGGCGAGGGCTGGAGGGAAGCACCGCTAGTGGTGAAGAGCTGGAGCGCCTTGTTCCAGTGGGATTGCTTCATGGCCTGGAATTGGCTGACCGTCTCAGCCCGCTGAGCCTCCAGGCGCCGGTACCCTGTCTTGCACTCCCACAGGTCTTCCCTCTGCTTGGAAAGCCTATGCTCCTAGTCCTCAGTGAGGTGCTTCTGCTGAGCCTCCTTCTCGCTCAGATCCAATTTGAACTGGGCCAGCTGTTTTGCCAATTCTTTCTCGTGGTGGCTGCTTAGCTCCAACAACTGCTTCCTGTTGGGGCCCTAAGGAGCCCAGGCAGGGAGGCAAGGAGCAGCTGGCAGGGGAGGGGCAAGGAGAGGCCGAGGCGAGGTGCTCTTTGACGTGAGTGACATTGAGTTGGCCACGCCCACCCAACCAGTCATTAGGCAGATCATATTAGTGGTCCGCAGGATTTAAAATTATGAATGTAGTGGTCCCTGAGGTCTGAAAGGTTGGTGACCCCTGGTTCAGAGGGTTGGGCTCAAAAAGTTAGGTGACCCCCTTCTCCGTGATGCCAGGGCAAGGAAGAAAAGCCCGGACCACAAGCAATGGCACAGGACATGCTCTAAATCCCTTCTGATAAACAATGCCATCCTGAAACAGCCTCCCCCCAGAGGGACCCAACCCTATGAAGCCTTTGACAAGGCACTGAAGCCCTGCCTGATCCCTCGGGGATCTGGGTCGGGGTGGAGATGAGCTCTGGGTGGCTAAGGTAACCAAGAGGGTTAGGTTTGGGGGTGCTGCTTATTTTTAATCTTATAACCCACCTGGTGTCCCTCGTGTGAGAAGCTATGCAAATGATACGAATAAGATAAATAAATAAATACCGGTACATGATCCTGGGGAAAAGGGTATATTTGTTTTTTATGAATTACTGTGAGCCGACAAGAATGAGCTAGATGGCCCTATAAGTCCTGGAAGCAAACAAATGAATTTGTCTCAGAACTAGACGGGGCTGGAGGAGGGTGGTGGGTTTTAAGAATGAGCGTTAACCGGCCCCACCCATTCGCTATTTTTCCAAAAATGTTCACCGGTTTTTCTTTTCAAAGCCATGAACCGATTCCCAGGGAAGCAAGCTGTGGGCCAAGCAAATTGCAGGCCGTGTCCATATGCTGCTGACCTCGGACCTGCCTGCTTTCCTTCCTCAATGAAGGATGACAGAGGGGAGGGGTCCCACCAGCAGCCCATCCCACGATATGCTGGAAGCGCAAGGA